ACGGTGCCAGCTGGCGAGTCTTCGGGCACCGGGCTCGAGAGCGAAAGTATGGTGATCTCGGGAGCATTGTCGTTCTCGTCCGTGATATCTATTTGAGCCTTGCAGTGAGCCGTTAACCCGCCTCCGTCGCTCGCCTCCAGGCCGAAGATGTATTTATTCTTCTCCTCGTAATCAAGGGGACCCAGCGTCCTGACCTCCCCGCTGTCGCTGTCGATAGTGAACAAAGCACGGATGCTGTCCGGGACGTTGCCTAATGAATAAGAGACCCGCCCGTTGGAACCCGAGTCTGCATCTGTCGCCCATGCTCGCAACACCAGAGAACCCACTGAAAGATTCTCCGCTACTCTCGCCTCGTAGACTCTTTTGCTGAACACGGGCGGGTTGTCGTTTGCGTCAGTAACATTTATGCGGACCTGGACAGTCCCAGATCTCACGGGCTCTCCGCCATCCACTGCCGTAAGCACCAGTTCAAAGGAGCTCTGCTTCTCACGGTCCAAGGCTCTATCCAGAACTAATTCTGGTTGCTTGCTTCCGTCAGGGCTCTCTGTCAGGGCCAAACTGAAACACGAGTGGCTGGTCAGCTGGTAAGTCAGCACCGAGTTGCTTCCTGCATCCGCATCTCGCGCCACCTCCAGGGGAAACCGAGCACCGGGAAGCGTCCATTCACCGAGCTCGAGGTCCAGAACAGATTTGCTGAACACCGGGGAGTTGTCATTCACATCCTCGATCGCCACCTCGACGTGGAAAATGTTCAGCGGGTTGTGCACCAGCACCTCAAAGCTGACGGAGCAAGTCGCCGACTCGCCGCACATCTCCTCCCGGTCCAGCCTCTCATTCACGTACAGGTTCCCGTTCTCCTCATTCACCGTGAAGTATTTCAGCTGCTTCTTGCCGGCAGACGCCACCCGCAGCTTGCGCGCCGGCAGCTCGTCCGCGCTGAGCCCCAGGTCCCGCGCCAGCGGCCCCACGAGCGAGCCTCTGCCCAGCTCCTCGGGGATGGCGTAGCGGACCCGCTCGGCCGCCGCCCGGCCACACACGCACAGCAGCACCGCGGCCCGCAGCGCTCGCCCGCCTCCCGGGCCAAGCCTCTGTCGCC